AGCCGCTGGACTGACAGACCGCTCGACTATTGCAGGTAGACCGCTAGTCTATTAAACCTGCCGCCATCCACAACAGATGACCACTGGACCGAGCACCGGATAGACTGCTGGACTGACCGACCGCCGCGCGTCCACTGCAGATGACCGCTGGGCCGGCCAATGGATCATGGATGGGTTGCTGGACTGGCCGCTGGCGCGACATATAGACCGTTGGGCTAGCAGAGGAGCTGAGTGCATCCAACTGGCTGATCGAACTGACTGCTGGACCGAACCACAGACCAACAGCTGGGGACCGACAGTGGAAGTGAAAATTGAATCGATTTTAGGACCAACAATTGGTTAACTGGATTCAGATACTGTAACCGACATGTGATCGGCTATAGCGCACCGCCCTCTGAATTGCCGCCGCGTCACATTTAGCATAGAAATATAGATAGCAGCCTGTCACCGACCACCAGCCAGCCGACTTGTGTCTCAATCCAGACACCGCCGCCGCCGCCGCCCCGCCCCGTCCCGTCCCACCCGTCACCCGTCCCAATTTGTCCCGGCGCCCCGTACCCGGTGTCGCCGGCTCTGCGGGGCGTCCCCGGCGCGTGCGGCGGTCGAACTGAAGTGACGCCGGGACACCAGTCACTGGAGAGGGAACACTGCTAATGGTCGGTTCAAGTGACGGCGCAAAGTGGAACGGAGTGTGTCGTGGGCGGCCACTCAATGGGGCGGGATGGATGCTGGGGTAATGTGAACCGAGAGAAAGTTTAGTTCTGGAAACACTTCCAGCAGGCGAGCTTTCACGGACGTGTTTAAGTCGATAAAGTTGCCTTTTCGATCATTCATACCATCTATGAGATAAAACAAAAAACAGAATTGACCGCTTCCGGGATAGTGAAGAAGGTATTTTTATCATAAGTATTTGTGGAGTATCCTAATATTTGTCACACTGTTACCTATATGCCATTCCATTCATCACTAGAACATGAATGAAATCAATACATTTAAGGTACTTAAGATCTAACTATATGAAAATCGCACTGGCACAGCAACAGGGCTGTGTAATGAAAATAATATATCCGAAATAATTATGAATTTCGATTGATGCCCTGATTGATGTTAGTTTGAAATATCAAAAAAAGTTTTGATGGACAAAGAAATTGACCAAATTATAAAGCAGAATGAAGTTGTCTATTACTCGCGGCGGCTATAATTTATGGTCGCTGCAGAGGTCTAAAATTACATCGGTGTATTCAGGCCGTGATGAGCGCTGTGGTTCTCATTAAAAAAGGCAACAGATGTCCCATTTGTCACTGTCACAGTTCCCTCTCACCATCAGAAAGTCAGAATTAGTTCACAGTTCCCTCTCACCATCAGAAATAGAGGTGGTAAAATGTGGACCCGAGGACCCGGTCCAAAGAACCAGTCTGGACCCATATGGGTACAGACCGGTTCCTGGAGATTTTCTGACGGGTCCAACCGGGTCCTACCATAAACTATACATCTTGCACACTACACATTATTGCAAAATATGAAGTGAATGAAGTGAATGTTTCTTTGCACACAGTAGCTCATGAGTATTCCCAGTGGGAAATAGGCTGTTATACATGATGCAACTAATGATTACAAGAAGTTTGTATTAATTGACTTTTGGGGACCGGGTCCAACTGGTTCCGATTCCAACTAAGACCGGGTCCGACTGGTTCCAGAAATGTACAGCCGGGTCTGGTTCGAGTCTGGTTCCCAAAATTTTCATCTTTTGCCACCTCTAATCAGAAAGTCAGAATTTGTTCACACAGTCCCTTCTAACCATAAGTCCGACCTGGCTGCTTCAAAACCTTAATTTGCCATGTTAACAGCTTGCATATGGGTATCATCAGGTAAATCACGCATTTGTTATGCAACTTGACCACCCCAATCAGTGGACGGTCTTGTCTGATCCCTGCCTAAGCAATCCATATGGGTTAGGCTTTCTTCACGTTATCGAGACCCGGAAAAATGCTATTGCTAGAGATATTTGTGATGCGTACCGTTCTTTTTAAAAATGTATATTGTTCAGTTGCGCAGAGCTGGAGTACTTATTTGTATCATTATCACGCTTACATATGATATCAACAGCTATATTGACCAAGAGAAGAGTCAAAACATTTATGCACGGTGAAGGTTCTTTCACTACCACAAGAGAAATCAAGTTGCGTATATTACCATGTATATTACCATGTTTGCGTATATTACCAGTTGCGTATCGCTGGTATAATTTGCTAATTGCTACATAATCATAAGCTGGTGATTTTCAAGCATGATTTATCTGTGGTTCTATGCATGGTGAGTCGGAAAGTCGCGAAACAAAGATTTACAATGCCGTAAAAATAACAGCTGTTAGCGGTTCAGCACCCGCACACAATCACCGCACGATTTTCGTGATGCCTACATAAAACTGTCGTATTGGATATGAATATTCATAATCCCTCAGTTCCTGCCATATTCCGAAATAGTTTTTGTCCACATCACAACACCGCATCAAAACTTATTTATGGTTATAAAACCGCTGTGATAACGTGGAAACAAAAAAATGTCATAATGAAAAACATAATTCAGAAACAAGAAAAACACAAAAATTTAGCCCAAACTGCTTCGCTCAGCCTGGCAGGAGTCGCTGGAGCGTCCCCAGAATGGCGGCTATCTGGTGCGTTGAATTGTTCCGCATAATTCCCGCTCTCCAGACGGACCACCGTGCCTGCCACACTGCCGGTGACCGCCAGCACATGTCCCGAATACCAGGCGGCTGCTTTTACACAACAATTCCGACCCTGCGGAATTTCTCCAGGTCGCGGCGTAAAGTCCGCGATAAATAGTTGATGTGGATCACAATTAGGAAAATGACGCTCTGAGGAGGAGAAATGACGCTTTGACGAGGCCTTATTGGGATCAGTTGGCTATTTAAATGACATACATACATGTCACGGTTCAGTGATGTAGTTCACTTTGATGAATACTTTGGAGGACTGTGAAATGCCTTACAAGTCAACACAATTGTAAAGAAAGAAAACCAGGTAAACTAGGTTAACTAGGTAAAATAGGAAAACCTGTGCTGGTGAGGCTGTGCTGCGTTAAAGCCGTTCTTTCGGAATAGCTTCATGGCATTGCTGAGTGACTGAACGTCAAACTACCGTGTTATTGTGAAATGGCATTATCGGTAAAACCGCATCCTTCCACTAGCGGATCCAGCCACGCCACGTGTGAAACGGGAGGCATACGCCGATGTCCATTTCTCTACATTCCCCGTCAAACGTGAATTCCCATTGAGAATTGGCACTGGCTCCATTTCTTGGCACTGGCTCCATTTCTTACAGTTCGCGGCCCTTGTACGTCAAATTGAGCCGTCCAACAGTAAAAAGGAAAGATAGTAGGTAATAAGTTTGGTAGCTATGTTGTTAAGAATATTCAAGAGTTTATTTAGAATCAAAATGACCAGACTCGTCGAAACGCGGCAAACACTGCATGTCAATGAAACAAGTTGGGTAGCATATTATATAGAGGAGAGTGGGGTAATTTGGCCGCTTTTTTTAGAAAACGATGTAACTAAAAATCGACAACACATTTCTGCATTTTCTCAACGCTGACAGGTGTGGCATACATTTTACTTTCTAGGATAGTAAACTTGAAATGATAGATTAACTATTTATATTGAAATTGTGACGTATTACAAAGGTCTGCAAAGCGGCCAAATTGCCCCACTAGCAGGGTTATTTGGCCGGGGGTGTGGGGCAATTTGGCCGGTGTTAGTTTGAGGCCATGATTTTTGTTATAGGCGAGTCAGCTTCACTTTCAGCAATGACGTGTGTCCTACGACGCATTTGAAGCATTTGGAGGTTGACTCAGCCGTCACAGTGAACGAAAATAGTCAAAATAGCGGCTTTAGATGCGATGACAGCTTTTTACGAATAGCTTTTGAAGTAATCAAGCTAAGCCAAAACTAAAAGTACCATCGTAATTCTCTCGTCATTCCGCATCGAAACATGTATGTGTTGACCTCGAGAGGTCAAGGTCAAAGGTTGGCTTCAGGTCACGCTACCTCAGGTCGCTTGACCTCAAGGTTACGTGAGTTCAAGGTCATCATGTATATCATTCAATGCGCCTTGACGAGCTGAACACAATGAGACCACTTGCGCGGCTGTATCTTTTTTCTTTAAGTATTTATTAGCAAAAAAGCATTAGGTAACTTTTGATGACGTCACATGCCCTTACAGCTGTCCAATAGGAAATATGGCATCAAGGTAGTCAAAGATGGTCATGAATTATGTCCTTTATGGTATAATTGACCATGACAACTCGGCCGTCCCAGCATAGTGACTCTGAGCGCACCGGCCAAGTTGCCCCGCTAGTCCCGGCCAAATAACCCCACATTGCCATTCAGAAAATTTTTGTCTATAAAGTCGTCATGGCTGTACAGAACTAGATGAAATTGCTCTTGGAACCGCTGAACACCCTCAAAAATGGCGCTATAATGTTGGAATTCTTTTACAGCCCAAATACTACATGCTATACAAATTTTTAAAGGGAAGTAAAAGTTACCATTTTCTAACGAAATTCACCTTTTATTAATTTTGAATAAAACTAAGAGGGGGAAAATTTTGACATTTGTTCTCGAGTTAGTTCTACCGATGACAAATGAATAGAGACTAAAGTTATTTCATTCCCTTTTATCAGCTTTCGTACAGGTGGGGGCGGCCAATTTACACCACCGGCCAAATTACCCCACTCTCCCCTACCCTAAATGATTAGCATGCAAGCTGGCCGTGTGCAGGTGTTCAGAATAAGCTGAACACGATATGTGCAGACAGATGAAATTGGGCATCTCCAGGCGACGTTTAGAGCCCCAAGTTAGCTAGGTGCATCGGACAGGACAGACTGATATGTTTGTCTGTGCCGACATTACCGAGCGGCGTTACACGCGTGTTAGTGGCTCGTAATGACATGTGAGAGTGTGCTGATGGGTGCGCTGGACTGACCTGGTGGCGGTCGGGCCGAGGTGGGGTACGAGTTCCTGTCGAGCCACTCCCAGCTGTCCCTGGCCGGCTGCGGCTGCTGCTGACTCGGCTGCTGCTGCTGCTGCTGCTGCGCCTGCTGCGGCGGCGGCTGCGGTCGCGGGTAGCCGCCGCCGGCCGCCAGGTCCGCCGCACCCGTCGGCGCCGACATCAGGCCGCCGGAGCCGGCCGAGAGCGGCAGGTCGGCCGCGCCCGTCACTATGCCGCTGTCGGGCGAGTCGTTCCTGCCGGTGGCCACGCCCGGCCCGGCCGGACACTGCTGCGGGGACGGCGTGCCCGGCTGGGTGGCCAGGTGGGCCGGCGCCGCGGCGGCCAGCGGCGGCGCGCCGCCGAAACCCTGGCCGTGCCACTCGTTGTAGCCGCCGATCACCGAGCGGTGGTAGTTGTCCCAGTAGCCCGCCTCGGAAGGGTACTGAGAGTAGGGCAGCGTCAGGTGCGTGGCGGCTGAGTCCCCATAGCCGGCCGTCTGCGAGCCAGCCGCGTGGTGCGCGTGGTACATGGGGTAGAAGTTGTACGCGCCGGCACCGGCACAGTCGCGAGAGGTTTGGGAGAACATGGTGGGCGGCACACTCGCGACGAAACAGCCCGAACGCGGCAGCTGCGGCGGCGAGCAGCACTGGCGGCGGCAGGTGAGGCGTCCAGCGGGCGGGCCGGCCGCCACCCGAGACCGCCGCGCCGCTGACCAATCGGCGAGCGGCGGGGCGGGGCGTCTCGACCGCCGACCAATCGGAGGTCGGCGTCCAGCCGGGCGCCGCGGACGGTCGAAGCCATCGATTGTGGGGGAGGTGGAAGGAGGTCTCTTTTGCCGGCGGCAAAGCTGCGCGGCTGCCCCGAGCCACGAGCTTCAATGAACCGGCGAAGTAGATTATCCTACACGGAGGTCAACATTAAGTCATTGGAGCTTTTTTACTTTGTAATTTGCATAATTCCAAAATTCATCAGTCAAACTCTAGTCACTTTTACATACATACATACATACATACATAAAGGTTTATTTGACCACGTGACAGTCAACGACTGGTAAAAAGGCCGTACATGAGCTCCTGTGCAATGGTGGCACCACATGAAGAAGTGAGAAGCATCACAAAAATTAGAAACAGTGCATTTCAAAAGAGCTCCGAGCATAGGTATCTACGTGAAGATCACATCCTGTTCATTAGATCTATGAGGACAGGCACAGTGGACTTTTTATACCGCTCAGTTTTGGCCCGCGGTACGACAAACTTTCGCTGCCGGCGCAGTGGGCGCCTCACATTTGCCAGCTGCTCGCCCGGGTACAGTGGGTGGGCGGGGTTGGCGAGGTCGAGGATGTCGGCCGCCAGCTTGCAGAGGGCAGCATCGCGACGCTCACTCGAGCGTCTCGAGGTTGAGGAACTGGCAGGCAGAGGCGTAGTCGGTGTAGTTTTCGTCAGTTTTCGTATCCTATCATGATTTTGCAAGCTCTTTTCTGGACTTGCTCGATTGCTTGCGCTTGTTGCTGTGTCAGTCCCGTGTGCCACAGTTGAGAGCAGTATTCCAGACACGGACGAATGAAGCTGATGTAGACGGCGCGGATATCGCTCAGATCTGCATGGAACTGACGGAGAACTGTGAGCATGAAGAGCCTGCGTGAGGCGTTTTTTTTGTGATATAATTCGTATTTGCCGTCCACTTTAGGTCAGAAGTAATATGGACGCCGAGAAGTTTCATGGTAGGGACGACAGGTACTGGTTCGTTGTTAATGATTACTCGTCCATTACATTACATCGTCCATATCCGAGTTGTGAGAGAAGTTGCAGATGAGCATATGACACTTTTTTCCGTTGATCTTCATGAGATTGTTCTCTGACCATGTTTCCAGAGTGGATGCGGCCGTCTGGGCTCTCTGGAGGACAATGTTTGCGTCTCTTGCAGGTGACAGGAAGCCGATACTGAGGTCGTCCACATACTTCCACCGATGATCTTCGGTAACAGCGCAGTCATTTATATGAGCCAAAAATGCAATCGGGGCGATTTTTGTCCCTTGGGGCGTTCCATTAGTGGTAGTGCGCTCTGTTGAGACAGGATTCGAGCCACCAAGTCGAACGACCTGTTTCCGGTTGTTGAGGAAGCTGGCTACTGTAGGCACGATGGAGGGACGAACTTGCTGGTCAAGTAGCTTCCTGAGCACGACATCATGGCTAACCAGGTCGAAGGCCTTGGAAAAATCGATCGCCAATATGGCCGCAGCGTTTGAAGAGCTATCCGTGTTCTTAGCCAGGAAGTCATATACACTCAGAAAACACTTTGAGAACATTTTTGAATAAGGGCTCATATGAGTGCCAAAACAGGGCTCAAATCTGTATGATTTTAAAATCGGGATCAGTTAGGCGCCCTTTTCGGGCTCAAAGTACATTAGCCCCGAAAGCGGCATCAGTTCGTCTTCCTTTTCGGGCTCAATTCGAGCTGCGTTTTAGGGCTCCATACGACATTCCGCCATTCCGTCTTTTGCTGTTTTCAGTGCCATGTGTTGGTGTACCTACCGCCGTGATTTCAAAATGAATGGTAAGTTATTAGTTATCAGTTATCGCTATCTTTTAGAAAAAATCAAGATGTTGATGCTCATGCCATTTTAATCCCTTATCAATTAAAATTGTGGTGGCATTTGTTCAGAAAAGGTCTGATCTACAATTGTGGCGCCGTTGATACGAATACGCACGGGTTTGATTATTCGTTTTTCTTGTATTTGCGCCACATGAAAGCATCATATCTGGATTCAGGATGTCAAATAGTGTAAGAATGTGCAAAAATTTTGTCTGGTTCTTCGTGATGATGTGATTGAAGCAATGCTTTCAAGGGTAGGTAAGGATTTTGTTACTTGTTCGTAATGGTTATCTTAATGCTCAACTAAAATTAATCCTAACCTTGCCTACTAACCTATTAAGTTAAACTTAGTACCAATACCTACCAACCTACAACCTATTTGGATCTTTCATATACTTATAACATGCTGCTGCTTCTGCTAACATGCTGCGGAATGCTGGTTGACATGATGGAATGCTGGTATGACAGTGTTCCATGTTTCAGAATTTTAGGTGAATAACCACACATGATGGGGAAAATGTTTTCATCCTAAAAATATGACAAGTGGCTTTATTTCATCTTTGCTAAAAAAATATGTTAAAAGTTTGATTCAACAGCCAGCTGCCAGGTTACGCATGACTTGACAGTTGATGCATCTACTCTACATCATTTCATTTCAGATCCTGTGAAGGTTCTGACAAAATCTGAGGTAAAAATGGCATTATGCAGTTTTGCGGAAAGACTAAATCTATCTCATTTTGTCTTCAGATTTTTTTTATTGGGACACCCAATTGAAATCCAATTTTAGAACACTGTGACACCATGCCTGTGTGCCAAGTAAGAGGAAGGGTCTACAAGTATACATCAAGATAACCAATTATGGACAAGTTGAGACTTGAGTCATGAGCTCTTATTTGTGGTTACAATACCTTCAACTGCATGATTTTGCACAACTTCCATACAGGCATCCAGAGTGGAAAAGGTTCAAGTCCATACTTATTCTGGTGCTTGAATATGGCAGTTCAAAGATGGAAGGCATATGATGCTACAAAATGAAAAAAAATAATTCAACTTACAAAAAATAGGTATTCATATCTATCCTAAACTAAACTAACCTAAACTTACCTAACCTAATCCAACCCAACCCAGCCCAACCCAGCCCAGCCCAGCCCAGCCCAGCCCAGCCCAGCCCAGCCCAGCCCAGCCCAGCCCAGCCCAACCCAACCCAAAACCTACAGTCTAAAACCTAGAGCTAAAACCTGCAGCCCAAACTGGAAAACATCCATATGGTACGCCGGACGCCCGTGAAGCCGTCATGCGCCGAAGTTCGGCGCAAGCTATTTTGCAATTTGCGCTGAAATTTCTGCATTATTTGCGCCGAAGGTTAGTGCCCTTTTGCGTCAAAATTAAGCCACTTATACAAAAAGCACGTTTACATCTGCTGGCCAAGGTTTTATAAACCAGACAGAACGCTCTGGGCCTTAACCACTCCTGACTCCCATGTTTGAGCGTCCAAATTAGTTGATGTTTCCATGGAAGCTGAATACCACAATACGTGTAGCGCACTGTAGCATCGTGCCGTGAAATAAGGCTCGGGACGGAAGTTCCGGGGTCACAAAAATTGGTGTGGCGGTGTTGTCGCGGCTGGCGGGCTCCAGCAAGGGGTTTAAGTTTACGACACCACTCTTGTTTCAGGAGAGGTGTCAGCGATTCGAGACTACTTGGGCATGCGGGCAGCGGGGTCGGCGTGGCTGCCTGCGGCTGCGGCCACACATCTTGGCGTCCTGGAGGCGGAGATGCTGATGGTGGCATGAGTCATCACTGGCTGCCCGATTTCCATGCTCCAAGACTCGCCGTGAGGGCCGAGGCGGGCGTCGTGCCGATGGAGAGATGAGGAGGGATGCGCTGGCATCGCGCCTACTGGCGAAGGCGCTCTCCCTCCCGTCGGAGGACCCGCCGCGTCGTGGCGGAAGCCCCCCCCCCCCCAACCGTGACTGAAGTCAGTGACCGGCTGGAGAGAGCGCGGGGGAGCGGTGTGGGACCACTGGAGTGGCGCTGCCCGCCGAGGCGCGCTTATCCACGAGACTGCCCCCGTAGACGCCAACAGACGGCGTCACGGTCCACCTGGACCTGCTGCCGATCGGGGCGTCCGCGACAGCGAGGAGGAGTGCTGCGGAGGCGTGACTGGGAGCGCTCCCCCAGCGTGCGACGTGGGCCTGGGTCGACGGGTCTGCGACCGGGGGAGTAATAGGAAGGCGGCGCTGGGGTCCTCACCGAGCACCCAGACAGTACAACATTGGTACTGCGGGAGGCGGCGGGGAGGATTTGCTCCATTTACCGATCTGAGATGGTGGCGCCCAAAACGGCAAAGCAACATCTCCTGAAGCACCCGTCCTTCGAGGAAGACCCCATAATCATTTGCTCCGACTCGCAGGCGTCGCTGGCGACGCCACGAGGTGGACAAGTGGCCCAGACACCCCCCCCTCATCCCCTAGGTGCCGCCATCTGGGAGTATATGATGGCCCTAGTGGCTGTAGGGGGCCGAAGAATCCACCATAGAAGGAGGGCGGCGATAGCCCGATTAAGCTGGGCGTCCAGTGGAGCCTCGGCTCTATCATGGGCATTGGGCAAGGACTCTGCGAGCACCCCCGTCTCCTCCATCTTCGACGGCACTCCAGTCAGAAAGCTGTCCCCACCCGAGTTTCCCAGCAGCATGGGCCACATGAAACCGAACAGCGCCGAGCCGCTCGACGCTGAGGACCAGGCGAGAGTAACAGTGAAAAGGTGAAACACTCGAAACGGCGCGCGCCGCCGGCCGAGGGCGCCGAGCCGGCCCAGGCCGGCTGCGGGTCAAACAGAAGCCGTCTCCGCGGCGGCCGCCCAGTGACAGCGACTCGGACTGACGTCGAGGCACCGCTGCCGCCTCCGCCGACCAACCCGCCGCCCAGCAAGGGCAGTTTGAAGGCGGCTGCGCCGGTGAAGGTGGCGCGGCCTGGCAGGGGCCGCGGCCGGCCCACTCCCAGCTACCCGTCCCGCGAGGTGCTCAGTACCACCGACTCGTCCGATTCTGAGGCAGCGCCGTCGGCGGGCCGCCGCCAGCAGTGACGACGACCGGCTGGCGGCGTTCGCGCGGGACTTGTCCGACTCCTGGTACTCGGACTTGCCGCCCAAACTGGACGCCGGCGGCGTGAGCACCAGCAACGCCAATAAAAAGTCCACCTTCATCCGGCTCTTCTCGCACCGTGTCAAAAGGACTACGCCGCGCGGCCGGCCGGCCAACTCGAATGAGCGCAGCGAAGGGCACACGTCCCCGACGGCGGCACTGGCGCCTCCCGCCGCGCCGCTGCCGGCGTTGCTGGCAACGCCGATCCAGGCCCATCGATTTCTACTGTTTTGTTGCCTACGTGCCGCTGCCGCCGCTCAGCCAGCACAATGGCGTGCCGGTGTTGCGCTGTCGGATCGAAAAGCGGCTCGTGCAGCGGACGGACGGGTGCGGCCCGCGCGATGAGCCGCCGCCGCACACCGAGCTGCGCCGCGCGGACGTGAAGGTGGAGCTGGCAGCGGCCTGCTCAGTCCCCTCAACGGCGTCGACCGGCTCTCCGGCGATTTGCGGTCAGAAACGCCGCCGCTTCTGGGACCAAGGTGTCAGAGCGCGGCGCTGCCCGTGAGACGTTAAGTTAGCACAGGCAATGTCGTCTGCACTCCTTGCAGTTCATGTTGAATACACAACCATGTTGCGAAGTAATAGGCGCCGGGTTTTTCAGTTCATAGAACTTTTTCCCTGGCTATTACACCCCACAACCGAACACTGACACCTTGCACAAGTATGACTG